ATTTGTTTTGGACTCAATTTTATGACATCCTACTTTACCAACAACTCTACTAGGTGGGTTTGTACATTCTCTACTTATTCTCTATAAATACTAGGCTCTTCTATACAATTTTATAAGGTGAAAATAGATTACTAGAATTATATGATCCATTGTAATTTTTCTCTCTACTCCATTATTCTTGAGTCAATAAAATCTCTTAATTTCTCTATAATATTCTTGTCTTTTTTATTCTTTTGATTGATCAAATACTTCATTATTATTTGCCATATAATTTCAACATCTAAATCCGGCGGTTTGTTCCACAACAATTGGTATCAGAACTATTCTGATATCTTGTTTGTTTTACAACAAAATGACATAAGTGTTATAAGAGATTGACATACTTTTATAGGTTATGCAATCAAGGTTGAATTTCTAAAATTGAATGCTTTTAGATGTGTATAAATTTACATAAAGATATAGTAAATTCAGGCATTTGANGTATAAATTTACATAAAGATATAGTAAATTCAGGCATTTGAAAAGGGTTAGTTTTACTCGAGAAAGACTACTATGTAAAAATGGTTAATTAGATTGTTAATACATATGAAAAAGGGACTGAATGAATTTGAATTTGTTGAATATTAAATAATCTAAGCGAAATCGGAATTCCTAACCACTTAACCTCAATAGTTCTCCACAAGTTAGGTTAGTTAGATTAATTTAGTTAGGTTAGTATAATTTAGTTAAAACATAAACACTTGATTTGTTAAGTTTTTTTACAGCATCAATTTAAATTGGAGCTGAAATTGAAATACAAATTAATAGTAAATATTAGTCTCCATGGGAACGATATTCGAATTCAAACATCCACCCATACATTTGCTGAATTTATACGAACAGAACGAGTGAAACGATTGAACATGGCTGGAGCTTAATCATTAGTAGAATATTTTATTGCTTCAAAATTTTCCACATACGAGGACATTTGCCTATTATGGGACTTGGTTAGAACAAATATGGAGGAATCACATCTTATTGATTGACTCAATAACAAGAGAGGCTGAATATTTATTTGATTGTAATTTCCATTTAGAGCTTCAGACACTGTGGGTGATAAATGACCTTTGTTTAGTTACAAAGTCAGCTTTGCTTGGAATTGAATAAAATATTGTTTCTTGGGTCCTGAATAAAAGAATTATTGAGTTCAAATTTAGTGTATTCATAGATTCAATGAGCCTTTGAACATATTCTTTGTTTCTTACATTTCTGCTATATCACTCTTGAAGCTTAACGCCACCAGCTTTCATACTGCCACCATCTTCGACTGCCTCCCTCCGTAACACCCTCCACGTTAGGGAGCATGCTCAGAGCGCCATTATTTGCTTTAAGGAGGCCTATGACATGATGATAGTAGTCGGAGGCCGGTCAAGTGTGAACGTTAGGAGCTCGACCCTAAAGTCATCTAGATGGGGGGTGAATAAGTGAATAAACCGAAATTAAAAATTACCAATTAAAAGTAATAAGTTACCTTTTAATTGATCTAGATATTTAATCAATCAAGACAATTTTATCCAATGTTGAATTGTCACAATAGTAAATAAAGCAGTAAATAAAATAATATTTGTTGACGAAGAAAACCCTTTATAGGATTTAAAACTCCAGGACAAAGCTAGTAACTTCCACTATAGATAATAAGAACTTTAATCATGATTCAACCTAAAAAACCATTAGGCTCCCTGATCTAATTCCTGCAATTTTCAAGACCTGCTCTACCATGCTTCATTCGCACTTGCTCCCGATCTTCTGAAATTATTTATCTTGTGTGGATCACCCAGAACATCTTGTTCTTGTACCCAATTTGTGCTTCTGGTCTAGCCTCCCTTAATCTTCAGCAATCTCTAAAAATTATTGAAAAAATACCTTCCTGATTATATTTAGGAAGTGAATATTTTGGATTATATGATTTTGATTACTTTCCCAATTTGTGATCGATTGATCCAAATATATGGAATTGTTGGTTATTCTCCAAATGATGTTATGAAGGTAGAAAATAATAATCAACCCACACACAAAAATGTAATGGGCATTGAGTATTTATGATAGGTATGAGGTATTTAGGTAGTATATGATAGATAGAACTCTTGAAAATCGCGAATCATGATTTCTGGAAAAATATCGTCACTCGAACGCCAGACTAGTTACAAGTGTGTCAATCAAGTGGCCGGCAGGCAACAATGATTTTGCTTTGAACACTCGAGTATCGGCTTGACGGCAGGCTAGCATAAATCATGCAACTCTTTCTCCATGTTCCGTACTCAAATCCAGAAACAATTAGTTCATCTCCAATTGACTCCTTAACTTTTATGGCTCTTTTATGATAATCATTTTGTTTAAATAATTGCTAATACAACTTAAAACCTAACAAAGTGCATAATAATTGATGGCGTCTTCGGTGTAACAATGCTTTAGAACCATTAGTGATCCTGCATTCTGGGGCTAATATTTTCATATTCGAAAATTAATTTATTCTGGGATAATTTGCCTTTAAGAATTACGAAAAGATTCCAATTATAGGCTAACAAATAATTATAAAAACTTGCAATTAAATCATTAGAGAAATAATCAAACGAGACTACAAAAGTATTCCAAAATCACTGGTGTGAAGGATCAAACAGGAGGTCGGAAAGATGAAATGAAATCAACCAAATTATCAAGTGATCGGTATGAAGAACCGCAAGGCTTCAAACAAAGATCTATTTTTTCCTTCAAACACATTATATTCTTCCTCATATCTTCTCCTTCCTTTCCCACCATTAGTTTTCTTATTGCGCTCTCAATTTCGAATCTTTCCAGCCCTTTCTCCAGCTTAATCCCGACTTTCCAAATATCATTCACGTATCTGGAATCCACCATCTGATCACCAAAGAAAGGAGAACATATCATTGGAACGCCCTCACAAATGCTCTCGAGAGTCGAATTCCATCCGCTGTGGGTCCAAAAGCAACCAGTGGCAGGATGAGATAGAACTTCTTGTTGAGGAGCCCATTTTACAATATATCCCCTTCTACTAATTGCCTCCAAGAGTTCCTTCGGCAAGATTTCAAGCCATTCTGAGCCATTCACCAATCCAGGCCGGACAACCCACAAAAATGGTTGAGCACTATTGGCCAACCCCCACGCCACTTCAATCAATTTCTCTTCACGCATTTCTGCAACACTCCCAAAACTCACATAGATTACTGACCTAGGTGCTTGTGTATCCAGCCAGGAGATCGAGGTTCGATCTTGTGTCCATAAACTGCTTGAGGATGCTGAAAAGTACTTATGGAACGGGCCAATTGCAAAAGTAGGAAGGAGGAACTGTTCTTGAAGTTTGTCTAATTCAGACTCTTCCAGTTCTTTAAATGTGTTGAAAATGAGCCCAGAGGCTTTTTTTGTTTGTTCCACCATATTAGAAATGATCTGGTATGGCCCCTCTGAGTTGCTCGTTTTAATGGTTGGAATATCCTTAATTTTCATAGGTGGGAACTCCACGACTGGTGTATCCATTTCGGAATCTGTCCAATAAATGTATAATAAAAACAACTCAAATCCACAGATCAAGAAATGGATTCTAGCTTCAGGCACAGAGTACTCTTTTTCTTATCGGTTCACAACACATTCAAGAACTGACGAGGAAAAAGGATAAAATTTTCTGAAACCAGCATCTCGTTGAGAGCGTGAGGGGGTAAAAGAATGTTGATTCGTTGAAGTTTCCTTCTAAAATGTCAAGAAGAACAAAGAAATAGAAACGGAGAATGACTTAAAAACAGAAGGGTTTAGGTGGAAATGGTACATCAAAACAAAAGTTCTAATAATTTACCTTTCCAAGAGAGGTATCCCATATCTTGAAGAAGTGGTAGAGCTGCGAAGGCCAATAGCGAACCAACACTGCTCGTCCGGAGTACAATCCTCCGGATCTTAAGGTTGTCAGCCACAGCCTGTGTGAAATACCAAACTGCATCCGTAATTATACATGCTATAGGATCATCAGCATCATCAGATAATAATCGAGCCAAGCAATCAAGAAATGGCTTAACACATTTCTCATTGAGAAGTTTTAGCAGAAGTGGAATATCTGTTGTGGAAGCTTCAGTTTCTGATAAGCCATCAGGGATTAAGTGCAGGGTGAAATGAGGGTATTTGGAGAGATTTGGGAGATTATATTTAGTGTGAATGATAGAAATATTGAATCCTTTGTGGTGAAGGATATTGGCCAGCTGAATCATGGGATTTATATGTCCTTGTAATGGCAATGGGAAGAGTACTAGACGACATCTTTTACTCTGTTGCTGGATGGTCTGGCGTTGATTATCCATGATGAAGGAGACTCTAGTTTTGAGTAATGGAGGATGTTGTTCAGCTTGAGGGTGGTGTCTCCCAAGATTTTTTGACCATGTAAAATTGAGGCTCAATCTGTTTTCATTACTAATAAAACACACCACCATCAATGATTTTGATTGCTTGAGGATTTACATGCCCCTGCGAGGTAAGAAACATTTTGGGGGGTGAGGCCAGAATTTTTTTTGTTTTTTATTCACAGGTGGGGCCTCGGCACAGTGAGGGGCCTCTAAGGCCCCTGGCAGAAGAGCTCTTGTACTTGGAGCATTATTCATTTTGATTTATGCTTGGCCCGGGATGCAGACACCCCTCCAATACTTGGCGCCCCTGGTTTGATCCGGGATTTAATCCCGGGCCAAGTAGCATAACTCGCCTGCTCATTTGTCATTTTTATGTGCTCAGTAGGATCCACAAAACAATTTTTTTGAACATTGACAACAAATTGTCAATGAAGTGTTCATTTACATACTGGCTGAGAGCATCAAGTTTGCAAACAGAATTCACCATGAGACACATTTGGCTTGTGCAAACAGAATTTGGGCTCGAGTAGAATAGAGAATAACACAAATTTACGTTATCCCACCAAAATTGCCTTTGTTGTCCTTTAATTCCCATATTTTTCTTGTTATAATGCTGTCTTTCTTTCCTTGGTTGCAATTGAGGACCAAGAGGCTGGTGGCTATTCCATTCCATCTGGTGCAGTTCACTTCAAGCCCATTTGCAATCCGCATATTTTACTTTGATTTGCTTATTCGAGTCAAATTCATCCACTTTCTTATTTGTGATCATTACAGTTTCTAATGACACGTCTTTGGTGGTCTGGGCAGATTTGTCAGTTTGTGATTGCACAACTGATCACCCCTTTCAAATTAATGTCACGTGAATATGATGTTAATAATTTAATATTGAAAGCCAGTTTGACTAATCTTACGAGGTGCATATTTTTTCACGGTACGAATGTTGCACTGTCATGATGACTAACACAATTATAAATGAGAAGTTTCAACACAAATATAACATAGTATCGCCGGGATTAATGGTTGATGGGTAATGTTGGAGTAGCTGTTTACGATACTTGTTCGGTTTGATTTTTCTCAAATTCTTTGATCAAATGAGATGGAGGCTCGATATATTCAACTACATAACTTTTACTACATAAACTACATTTAATGACAGACATCAGAAAATTTCAGAAATTTCCAGGCCGGCCTAGATATCGTGTTGGAAAAACGATTACAAAAAAAGGTTGTCTTGTTAATTCGCCATTTTTAAATTTTATTGTTTCATAGACATGTTATTGGCTGGGGGCATCAAGATGCAAACAGAATTTCAGTAACACTTTCTAGTTTATATATATATAAAGAGGGTCTATTCAGGGTTATTTTCAAGGTCCAAGCACGGCCTCGTCGATGTCCCCCACCATATTTAATTTTTTATCAGTACTGTTTCTAATGATTTGTCGGCATTGGTCCATCAACACGGCATCGACATAAAATACTTGAGTATGTCCCCACGGGCATTGGGCAAGGGTAAAGCAGAAAAAATACTTATGGAACATCAGATTTCAGATATTCGAATACTCGTGATAATTGGAAGCAATATTTATGTTAGAAGGCAAATGTCGTGTAGGCAAAGTTATTGTGGGTTTTTTCCCCTTCTGAGATCTTGTCCGCCGTCATAAAGGGAGGTCCACAGGGAGGAGAACATATCCTACATGTCCGGGTCAAGTATGTATAAGCTATAATCGTATTTGGATTTACCAAAATAGCGAACCAGGGAGGAAGACCGTCACTTCTCAAGATTAGTTAGTTGAAACTCGGACCTGAGTCACAAAAAGGAAAAAAAAATAAAAATATATTTTACATTAAGCTGTGACGGATTCAAGATTGGACTACAAATCGAATTAATATATATATATA